GGCGAGGCTGGATGGTGGGGGGAGTGAGGGAAGGAACAGAAGTAACGCGGGGTTTATGCTTTGGGGCTGGATTCTGTGCCCCAGGGTCCCCCCAAGCGCACTGCCATGGGGACAGGCCGGGCTTGGGGAATAGTGAAGTCTGGAGGGAATTTTTACAATGTCTTTTTTATTTTTTGCCTCCGTGATTCTGGGGTGGTTTGTTTGGAGCTTTCCCCTCCTCCCCTCCTTCGTGTATTTTTTCCTTCCCCTGCTTTGCACTGAGGTGCTGACATTAGCTGCATGAGGAGCGTTATCCCTTTCCTTATTGCTGCCCTCGGGACACACGCTCACTGGCAGGCTCCAGGGTTCCCCCGAGTGCGGAAGGTAGAGGCAGGCCCGGGGGAGGCAGCCTACTCTGGCTGGGGATAGCCGGCGCTGGGGAGGCGACTCCTCGGAAAGCAAAACGTAATTAAAAAGAGCCCAGCCATGATATGAATCACCCAGCGGCAGAGGGGTGCCGTCCCAGCGGCGCCTCTCCTCTGCCACCTCCGTGGCCCCGAGAAAGCCCATTTCCCTCCCGGTTTCGCCCCGCTCCAAGCACAAAGGGCAACAGGAGGAAGGGGCAAGATAAAGGGGAATAATAATAATAATAATAACAATAATAATAACAACAATAATAAAACTACTACTAATATAGTGATGATGATGAAAACAACAACACAAATAATAAAGGGAGAAAAAGAGCTCGCCTTGCAAAATTGGCAGGAGCTCCTTCCCAATTCCTCTCCGAAGCTGGAGGAACTAGGACAGCTGTAGGAGCCCTTACATTTGGGGTAATTCTCCCCAGAGCTCGGGGCAACAGTGGGACCTAAACCTAGGACAGGTGCCGGGGGCCTTGGAGCCGCCAGCTTCAGTCTCGCCCGCCGCTCTGCGGGTCTGCAGGGAGGCAGAAACGGGAATTTTCGATATGTCGGGGGGGGGAAACCAAAAAAAAAAAAAAAAAAAAATCAGCCAACCAACCAACCAAAAAAAAACCAAAAAAAAAAAGAGGCTGCAGCACAGGGCGCAGGGTATTCTCCCGTATCCTCGTTGCTGTTCTCCAGCAAAAACTCCTCCTGTCAAAAAAACAACGAACAAAAAAAGAGAAAAAATTCATATCTAGAAACGAGATAATGTGCTTAGAGAGAAATACGTTTAAAATATTTTTTTTCTGATTTTGCTGCACAAAAATAAAAAAAACCGAAAGACATGAAATGGGAAGAAGGAAAGGAAAGGAAAGGAAAGGAAAGGAAAGGAAAGGAAAGGAAAGGAAAGGAAAGGAAAGGAAAGGAAAGGAAAGGAAAGGAAAGGAAAGGAAAGGAAAGGAAAGGAAAGGAAAGGAAAGGAAAGGAAAGGAAAGGAAAGGAAAGGAAAGGAAAGGAAAGGAAAGGAAAGGAAAGGAAAGGAAAGGAAAGGAAAGGAAGGGAAAGGAAAGGAAAGGAAAGGAAAGGAAAGGAAAGGAAAGGAAAGGAAAGGAAAGGAAAGGAAAGGAAAGGAAAGGAAAGGAAAGGAAAGGAAAGGAAAAAAGGAAAGGAAAGGAAAAAAGGAAAAAAGGAAAAAAGGAAAAGAAAATGAGAAGAGACTCTATAACACTTCTCTCTTCCTACCTAGAGATTTCTGAGTCAAACACCTACTAAGGCTGGCACCTCACTGTAGATGCTGGGCTGCGGTTTACCTTACCTACATCAGAAATAAATACCCAGAGGCAGCAGCGTCCTGATATGATGTCCTTTTGCCCTGCAGTGCCAGACCAGAGGTGGTCCTGACCTGTAAAAAGTACCTGTTTTCCAAGAAAGGTCCTTTTCCCGACCATGTCCCACCACCCGATTGCCTTCACCCCGTGCCGGGATGTGTATTGAAAGAAGATGGTGAAAGATTTAATTTTCCTTTGGGAGATGCAATTACAGCAGAAATACTGCAGGAGAGGCACACTCTCAGACTCTGGCTTCTCAGTATCTCATTATTTATTACAAATGTAGCAAACATTGGGAGTCTACAACCAGCTTAGAGTGCTCATAAATTAGAGGCTGTAGGACTACTTTGGGGGGAGAAAAAAAGGAAAAGAAAGAAGATCGAGATCCAGATTTGCAGACGTCTGCCTTGAGGCATGGGGGAAATAGGAGGCAGAGGGTAGATTCGGGGTGATTTTCGATAATACAAACGTGGAGAGGAAAGGTCCTCCCTCCCCCTCCTCAGGTGGGGCCATGGGACGGGTCCTGTCCTGGCGACAAAAACCGGTCCAGGTCCCGTGAAGAAGGGAATTGAAAGGAAAAGGGAAAACGTGAGGGAATTGCTGGAAAATATCCTGAGGAAAGATAATCCCTTCTCTGTCTATAAAGCCCTGGCCATGCATGAGGGCTCCCTCCCGCCGCCCTGCTGCGGGTCGGTGCGAGGCACCCGGGAGGGACCAAGAGGAGAAGATACTCCTTTTCTCTTTCTCCTATTCCTTCTTCTTCTCATTCTCCTCCTCTCTTCCTGCCTCTGCAGTAAGGGCTCGCTCCCGCCCCGGGGGATCCCTCCGGAGGGTTTCTAACGCCGCACTGGGACCCTCCAGGATACCGCCTCCTGCCTGGGAAAAGCAGTGCCTTTCCCACCCCCGCCTGCCCGCTCCCACCGGTGACGAAAAACCCTCGAGACGAGCCCGGTGGGCTTCTAAGCTAGCTTCTGCCAGCCGAGGGGCTCATGTCCTCTCCCCACTTCAGTCAAAGACCCCTCCGCCGGGAACCCAGCAAAGCAATTCTTGCACCACCCCGCTCGGGCTGGTGCCGAAGGCGGGGTTGGGGAGGGGGGGACACCCGAAACCACAGCCAGCGGCTCCTCCCCGCCGGGCGCCAGCCTCCCTTCAAGGCATGCCCCGCTCAGCTCAGCCGTCGGGAGGTGGGGGCGGCGGCCCGAGGGGGCGGCCCCCTCCCCGGGAAGGTGGGCGCGTGCCTGTTCTGATGCCGGCTGCTCTCCCCTCCTGCAGGTACTGGGATGATTTCCACGCCTGCACCCTCACAGCGCTCACTGACTGCCAGGAAGGAGCGACAGACCTCTGGGAGAAACTGAGACGGGAATCCAAAAACCTCGATTTCCAAGGCAGCTTATTTGAACTGTGCGGAGGCGGCAGCGGCGCGGCACCGTCCCTCCTCCCGCCGGCCTTGCCCCTGCTCCTTGCGGCTCTGTGGGCCGCCCTAGTGACCTGGCTGCCTTTCTAGGGGGGCGAGCACACTCACACCCACACCTTCTCCATGTGCTGGATCTATAGAGGAAGTGTCCATCCGTTGCTTTGGGGACGTTGTGCTTTTCTGTGGTTGATGATGATGATGATGGTGGTGGTGGTGGCTGATGATGGTGAAACACCCATGTAGGACTGTGGAAGCGTTCTCCCTTTATTTTTTTGTGTTTTATTTGCCAAATGTTACCAAACAGGCAGCGGCGCGCAGCCCAAATCGGACCTCAGCTTTACTAACGCTTCGAATCAAAAATAGAAACAAAAAATAAAGAAACAAACTCGAGCCCTCGTTGCGCAAAAGCAATCTCAGGAACGGCTCTGGGCCACCTACTGCTAAGGCTGTAACCGGCCGGGTACCTCCCGGCGAGCCACGGGCTCCGCTAAAAATGTGGCAGTGTGCGAGGCGAGAACAAAAACCGCAGACAGAAAAAGGCACTGGCGATAAATCCAAGGTAGATGTCCACGTGTGAAGCATATGGTGAATAATTCACAATCTCTCATCTTTCCTCCACAGTCGCTTGTTTTTTTTGGTCATTCCACTGCAAAAAAATTTAAAAAATAAATAAAAAAGAACATTTTTTCCTCAAGGGGAAAAGAGCGAGAGAGGGAGAGAAAGAGAGGGAAACGAACAGTTAAGAAAGGAAGGAAGGAAGGAGCAAGCAAAAGAAAGACGTGTCTAAATGCCCGGAGGAGTGAAGGGATGCTGCTAACATCTCTGAGAGTTTACCTTTACTTGCTGTTCGAAGGCATCTTTCCGAATTCACTGCCTTTAATTTTTTCCTCCTCTTTGTTTTAGATGTTACACATACCAGTAAAATACCTGAATATCCAACCGTAGAGATCACAAAAAGGGGGCTTAAATGTAAAACTAAAGGAAAAAAAAAAAAAACAACAAGACAACAACAGCGAAATGATTTTGAAAAAAAAAAGAGTCTTGATTTTAAAAGAGATGAAATATGTAATTTAAACAAAAGTTTATTATAAAGTCAATTCAGCAAAAAAAAACCAAACAAAAAAAAGATTTGCTACAAAGTATAGACAGAAGTATAAAATAAAAATTATTGTTTGAAATGAGGGTGTCGTCCTTTTTATAAAATATGCTTAGAATATCTTGGAAAGGACAGGGCTTTTAAGGCAAGGAAGTCTAAATCCTGAACTCATCCCTTGACGAACATGGCAATTTCAGTTCAAATAAGGACAGGGTGGCTGAGTCGCTTAGTCGGAGCCTTTCTGCCTTTTTTTTTTCTTTTCTTTCTTTCCCCCCCCCCCCTTCATTTCTCTCTTAAAAAATACGCTGTAAATCCTCCCACCCTCCCACCCTCCTCCTCCTCCTCCTCCTCCTCCTCTCGAAGCCGCGAACCGCAGCACCCTCGTTTCCCAGCCGCCCGGGACTGGCGAAGGGAGCCCCCCGCAGAGGAGGGGGCGGGCGGCGCGGCTCTCCCGCGGGCGCGGAGCCGTGCGGAGCCCCGACGGAGGGAAGGCAGCAACCACCATTAAGGAGGAGGCTGCCGAGCCGGAGCCGGGGCGCAGAGGAGCCCTTTCATAATTAATAAGGCAGCTCAGCCGAAGAAGCAAGGGGAAGGGGGGGACGGGGTATTGATTTCGCAGCAGAAGCTGCTCTAACCTCGGCTATTTATAGGCGCCCGATGCCTTTATAAAGAAATGCACATCAAAGAGTAAACACGTCCTTTTTACTTATAAAGCAAGAGCCCAGCTGGCGACCGGGGGTGGGTGGGTGGGCGAGTGGGTGATGGGGAGGTAGGGGCCACGAGTTGGTGCGAGGTGATTTATTCCAGTGGGGAGCCGATCCCTGTGCAATAGCTCTCTTTACCAATGTGTAGGGTGGCAGGGTCTCTCCTTCGCCCCCTCTCCCCTCCCTTCCCAAGGTCCGCAATGTAATGTGTAAGCAATAGCAAATGTAACAGTTCATAAATCAAACAGTGGGTCGCAAGCCAATCTGCATTTCCCAAACGAATTGAATCCCAGCAACGAATGTGCTCAGGAACTGGAGCCAGGCGCCTTTACCACTGGAAGCAATGTTGATTTTTTAATGATAAAATACATTATGCGTGTGTTAGGGGGGCTTTGCAGAGCTCAGCCTCGCTTCGTCAGACACAGGTCTGCTGGAATTCCGTTTTCTTTTGGCCTCCCGCTAGACTCAGTCCCCACCACCACCAAAGAAAAAGGAAAACCCTGGAGAGCAGAGCTTTGTTTAAATGGTTTGGGTTATTTTCCCTCCCCACAGAGGATATAGACCTAAATTGATTTTTCTGTGCACATCTCTGTATTCATGAGGTCAGGCGCTGCTGTTATGGTTTCCTGTAGCACGAAATGACAGATGCCGAGGAGAGACGGGAGAGAGAGCCCTTGCTGGGGTACGGGGAGCTCCGCAGCCTGTTGGCTACGCCGGCCGGGCTCCGGGGACCCTTGCCGGCGGCAGCCCCGCTCCGCCCCGGGGTGCCCGGGCGCAGGTCCCGCCCGCTGCCGGCATTCCCGACACCGCCCCCGCCTTCCCGGCTGCTGGACGGTGCCCGTCCGTCGGAGAAAGGTGGAAGGGAGCCTCCCAGCTTTCCCTCTCACCCCTCAGAAGAAAACTGAAACGCCATAATAAGGGGGCGATTTCCAGCTCATTAGAGGACTCGAGTTATCTTCGCGTGAGGTTCAATTACTAATGGATAATCTCTCCGTAATTAGCACATCCCCCAATTAGCCCTCCATCGAGGAGGATAATAAACGGTGGCAAGCCGGGGAAAAACAGCCCAGCGGGTTGAGAAGGAGCCCTGTGGTCTTGCCAGGGCCCCTTCCCTCCCCTCCTGCCTCTCCCTGGACTCTCCTGTCTGGGGCCTCTAATTGTCGGGTGCCACCGGGCCTCCCGGGCTAGCCTAGCAGCACCCCGGGATTTCCCGCACAGACAGCAGGAAGTGTACCAAAGCCTGGTCCCGCCGGCTCAGCTCCTCCTGGGCAACCGGCAAGCGAGGCTTTCCCCGAACACTAGCAATCAACAAACTCCCCCTCACCTTCCCCCGTTCATTTTATAAGAGCCCCTCAATGCGCGAGGCACCGGTTGTTCCCTTTCCTGCCCCTTTCAGGGGTTATTTCTGAAGCCTGCGAGCAATAGTCGATTTTATTTTTTTTTTTTTTTTGCCCCCAGGGGTGGTTGCTCTGCCTCGCCTTGTTGTGTGGCCAAGGAAACATAAGCCGTCCGCCAAGTCCCAGAAAGGGACTGAGTGTACTAGATTTGCCTCCTGCCGCCTTGCACCTGTAGGGTTTGTAAGGGCTGCGGGGGAAGGCTGGGGTGTCGCTTGCCAGGCTGGTCCCACTGCCCCAGGCAGCAGCTGCTGTAGCAAGAGCTGGAAGAGGTTCAAACTTCTGAACATCCCTTCTTAACTCCTGGGCAAACGTGAGGTGGTGAACTAGAGAGGGGAAAAAATGCAACAGAAAAGCATTTAAATGTTGACAGAGAGCACAGTAAAATTATCCCCTACTAAAAAAAAACCCAAAAAACCAAAAAAACACACACACACAAAAGCATAAATGCAGATCAACAGGGGAAAAGCCCATAGCCGGAACAAAAAAAACAAGCCAGTGCATTTCTAGCTGGCTGGATAATCGGGAAGCCTTGCAGCCATTGCGGCTCTGCCTGCCCTAATTCCTGTCCCCAGCTCCGACTGAGCAACCGCAGCCCCGCAGTCCCCGGAGGGCCGCGGGGAGCTGGCTCCTTCCCCGGCAGCGCTGGATGCACCCGTGCTTGGCAGGCGGCTGCTCACCTCCCGCCTCCCCCTTTTAGCAGCCTGGCTGAGCCCTGGAGGCAGGGCTGCGCCTCGCCCCTGCCTGGGCTGCCCTCTGCCACGGCGAGACCGTGCCAGCACTGGGCTGAGGTGGTGGTGGTCGATTCTTTTTGCTTTATAGGAGGGGGAAAAAAGTCCTTTCCCATCTGTTCAAAGGCTGTAACAGGGAGATGGAGCAGGCCTGTGCTGGGAGAAAAAGCTTGAGCACAAATATACAGAACTGAAGAAAACCTATATATGAATGGTAGTGAAGGCAGACTGGTTGGTGCTTACAGAGGGAGCAGGGGGAGGTATGGTATAAAAGTAAGCTGCAGTACTCACTTCACAGGACTTTCTGGTGGCTATGTCTATGTTTCAGAAGCAGCAGCCAGATACTGTTGGTCCCTGGCTCATTTGCACAGTCTAGGGATGAGTGGATTGGTGACTCTTCCAGCCCACTTCCTCTTCAGGACCCTTTTTAAAATCTGTGCCGTTGCTGTCCTGCCCAGTGAAACCCAGCAGATTCTGTGAAGGGCTGACAACCTAAGGAGAAAGAGGCCAGTTCAGCCTTCCTATTCATCAGGGCTGATTAATTAATGACTAGTGCCATTAGGTGTACTACAGCAGTGCCTGAGGGCCCCAATTAAAGGAAAGTGAGCTTGTTAAATCCAGAAAGCCAGATTCTCCCTCTGTTACTCCTGCCTGATGCAGAGGTAGTGTCCCCAGGGTGGGCAGCAAGAATAACCCCGGCTTTCTAGGTATGCAGCCTCTGTGCCTTTCCCCCTCACTCCTCCCACTTTTCCCTCTCCTTCACCTTAGCTGCAGATCCTGCCTACAGGGTGCTGCAGAGTGAGGCTAGTGCAGGAGTTGGCTACCAGGACTCGCAGGAGGAGATGGCAAATCAGGTTATTTTTCTGAGCCACTTCATTTTTCATCACGAGTGGGTTTGGGTGGTTTTTTTTGGTTTATTGTTTTTTTTGGTAGGTTTTTTTTTTGGCAGGGTTGGGGGCAGGCAAAGTGATAAGGACTGCAGAGGAGTCTGTTACAAAATCAGATACGATTTTAGCTGTCTGAAAGAGTTCCTTTAGGCTACAGGCAGCTGATGATCAATGGTGCTGTTGGCAAATGTGCTTCCAGCTGGCTGCTGCCTCTCTTGAGGGACAGTTTCAACCCAAGGCTCATTGCAATCGTGATACCACAAGGGGCTTTCATTTACTTTGGGCTAAGGATCTTCTGCTGCCCAGTTCCACCAGTGCGAAGAAAAGCTGGAGGTGATGTGGGAGAGTGACAACAGCACTGTTATTGGTGAGTTATTGGTTGTTCCATTCCCCTCAGATTCCCATGGTGGGTCTGTGTAAAAGATTTCGCTCAAAGCCCCGTACTCCTGAACTGTGGGTTTGCTAACAGATGGGCAGATTGTGCTAGCATAGGCTTTGCCTTTCAGGAGGTACTGAAAAAATAGGTTTAAGTCCTTTAAATTATCAGAAACCCAGCCTGTGGCCTGTGGCCTAGCTTTTTAGGCTTTATTGTTTGTTTTATTTTGTTTGTTTGCTTATCTCCAAAGCTGATATAAAACAAAGACTGAAACAGCCTCCCGAAGGTCAAGGTGAGACTGACCATCATCTGAGTGCTGATATTCACCAGCAGCAATAAATCCTTGTTCCCAGGTGCTGGAAGTCTCTTCAGCTAGAAAAACAACATTACTGCAGGGGCAAACAACTAGTCCTGGCCTTTACACAGCCATTCTTTGGGAAAAAGTATCGCCTGAAGTCAATATGCATTCTGCCTAGGTAAGGATTTTGTATGCTCAGTTTTATCTGAAACAGGAATGTTATTCAAATATGAACTCCAGGTTCATGCTACCAAAATACGAAGTGCTTGCCTGTGCATCATGTTTTGCACCTTCAGGTTTCTTGGCTATGATATCAATTTATTAAGGACTGTGAAAAACTTACTAAATCTCTCAAGCATCAAAGATCAAATCTGCAGGGCACTTTTTTTGCTGTGAAGCAGCCTCAAGAGTGGATGGGCAGTGTGTCCTTCAATACCACTTTAATACCACCATTTTTTTTTAACACTTTGGAAACTACTGGATATTCAAATTGATGGAGGGAACAAAAAAACCAAACCTCAGTCAACCAAACTAGACAAAAAAAAAAAAAAAGAGACATAAGAAAGCATAAGAAAGAAACAACCACTTATATTGATAGGAGTTGTTTTAAACAGATTTATCCCACCTTAAACCATCTATTTTGCTTCGGGCACTGTCGGTAAGTTTCCTTTAGGTACATGATATAATTCTGCCAAATGCACCTCTTCAAGAGTCAAATCATGTGTCTAGTATAGCGTCTCTCTTTGTCAGAACTTCTAATAGTAGTATCTTAAGTACAAGAAGTTTTACAGTACATTGCCAGTTTGGTGTTTATGCTTCTTTTAATGCATTGTGTTTTCACTGGATAGTGTAGGAGGTTTTTTCCATTCCTGTGCTCCCTTGGGGCACTTTCAATTTTCCAGTCCCCTGGCACAAGCTGCCTTTTGCAAAGGAACAATTCCTGTAAAGCCATTGCCTCATTTTGTTTCCCATATTCTAAGAAATCCTTAAATTATGTTGTCAAATAAAAAATCCAGAACATATTTCGTTGGCATGGAACATTGGTCACATTAGTTTTGCAACGCCTCATTGAAGGACCCAATATGTCAGAAAATTGTCCTAAGCTTTGTTTTTTATTGAGGCTTAATAGGTGCCCTTGTCCCTTTTACTAGATCTGTGATGCAAGACTTGGCTTTATTCTGTTGCCAAGACATTTCATTTGATCTTTTTCACCTTTACTTCTAGTGTCTATTGAATGGGAGTAGCACTTTGAGACATTTGATGGGTGAAAAATGCTACATGAGGAGGTAGGCATTATTAATTAGAACAATCATTTTATCTTTTAGCTTTCATCAGAAGAAAAATGCCTGAATTGAAGTGACAACAACAAATAATAGGTAAAGGATGCTTCCCTGTGGCTTCATAGATCTGCTGTGTTACAGAAAACATTCAGCCCTGGGTGCCTAAGAGTTGTGGTTCACATCTCGCTCTGAAGAAGCCTCATCTTAAAGGATGGTGTAGCATACCACCCTAATGCAGATGCTGCTTTGCAGGCATTTCTGGCTGTGAATTTCAGGCTGCGCCCTTGGCTAAGCTGTTGAGGACAAGTTGCAATACCTGTCCTTCTTGAAGAGATCCCAGTCCATTTTCAGCCATGTCTCTCACTTCTTGCAAGCTCCTTGTTTTGCTGTGCATCAAAGGTTCATTTAATTATCTTCCCTCTCTTTTCTTTAGGTGTTGGTGATTTGCACTCTCTCCACCTAAATCAGATATCTGGCACATCAATACTTAGAAGGCTTAGGAGAAGAAGAAAACATCAATATTTCACTGAACACACAAAGTCGCACAACTCCCCACAACTCCCAGTCTCCATTTTAATGTCCACCGTGGTTAGTTTGTTTTGGTCTTTTTCTGTCAGATGACTGATTTCAGTTTCTCTTTGAATCCCATCTGTGTGAATAGCTTGTTTTCCTCCCTAGCAAGTGTTAACAAGGAACTGCAAGGATTTTGTTCAGGCTCACCAGTCAGGCAACCCTGAGGTGGCTGACTTCTAGGAAAAGCCACAGCAGGAACAAGCGAGAGCCAGCCTACGCACCAGGCACAGCTTTTGCTGGTCTTTAGTTTATGTTCCAACTCGTGCTCGTGTTAAATGAATCGCCGTTAGCAACTGCAATACAGACAAACGCAAGGAAGAACAAGCTGGACGCTTTATCACGGAGCTATGCTTGGAAGTGATGGCCCATTGTAACGCAAACTCACCCACCACAGTGGAGCTGTTCCAGCTCACGGCAATTTAGGACTCGCTGCGCTCACTTTAGCCCATGCTCTGAAGTTCCTGATCTTATCCTTTATGTGAACTAGATCATGCAAATGGGGGCACCGGAGTCACAGGGAAGTTGAGTAGAGTTCCGCATGAGCACTGGTGTGAGAAGGAGCAGCAATTAGCTCTAAACTCACTCTGCCGGCCTGTCATTTCCGAGCTCTGACCCTGCTGCTCTGTAACTGGAAGACTTTCGCTCTAGAAGATGGGGAGAAGAACATTTTGCTCATGCTCATATTAATCAAGTCGTCTTATGAGCTACCGAATCTGTGAAATTGTATCTCCCGTGGAGTTCAGTGGTAATGACTGTCTCTGATGTGGACTCTCTGGTGTCTAATAATACAGTTTTGTTTCTGCGGTGGATGCACTCCTAGCATTTTTTCTCCTCTGTCTGCCTACTTCCACAGCACTTGTAGGCAGTTTAAACCTTTGAAACTTCTATCCCCTGTCAAGTTTGATCAAACTCAGCTCACAAGCTCAAAAAATTATTTAGGAGGGACCGACTGGCACTTGCACAAGACAGTGTGATCTCATAAGCTTCCTTTCCTTGGGAAACTAGGCTACCAACCTAGCAACGGGGGGAAAAAATGCCATCCTGCTAGCAAAAAGGACCTAAACACTTGGAGGAAAGAGGAGAGATGGGAGAGGAAAGTGAAGCTGTTTTGAAGGGAAAAAAATAACTGCCTTGTGGTTGCAGAGCTCTCATACACTTAAAGGGCCAACCTTGGAGACACATGCTGGAGAAAATGTTCTCCAGGAGATGATAAGTTCTCTCATGAAAATTGGTAAGGGAGAGAAATCACCTGGACTCATCATACCACCAGGCATGCTAAATGGATATCTATATGGTAAGAATTGTCCCCAGTGGTACCTGTTTCTCTCTGTGGACTAGAGGAAGCCACAGATACAACTAGCATGCAACTCATGTGCCTGCAGTATCTAAAACAAGGTGGATCCTACCCCAAAGGGAATGGTCTTCTTACCACTCTGTCCTTCAGACCAAAGTTTTCCATGGTGCTGCTGCAGGTTTTGTTACTTCATGTACTAGGTTTGTATGTTAGAAAAGCTGTTGTATGTCTTAATAGCTGCAGATGCATGCATGGTTTTACTGGGCATTTATTAGCACTTATCCTCTTTGCACTAAAACCTTTCTTGTTCTTGTACCGTATGGAATAAAATTCTTTAAGTGAGCTTTAATGATTCTATGATTCTACTTCTTTACAAATTAGGAGCTGTTATTCTGCTTTTTTTGCTATCACATAATACTTGAGGCTGTCAAAAGTATTATAGTGCATACTCATATAAATTGATATTTAATTCCAGTAATTATAATGTCACTAATTGTATTTTTGCACCTGATGCAATTTCTGACATCCAGCTCTTTAGATCTACTTTGTTCTTTCTAGATTTAGGCGTTCCTTACTCTTTAATCTTCCCTGCCTACGGTAAATTGTATGCACAATGGAACTTGGAAATAAAAGCTCAGACCTTCCCATCAATTGTTGTGTGCCAAATGCATGGGATAGTTTAAAACTATGTGTGTACTTAGAGTGCAGGATACACTCAAAATGCCATTGCCTATTTATATGTCTTTTTTATGAGGCTTAGAGTGGGTTGTGTTATCCAAATATTGCACAGTGCTTAACTACTTGTACTGGCCTATTGCTAAAGGTTTTCCAATTTTTAGGAGGCTTTTTTTGCTTGTAGCCTTTCACTTAAAATTACTCCAGGGCTGCTCTGGCAGCCCCTTGCACCTGGTTTCTCAATACTCTTTTCCTCATGGCCTTGCACTGGTGCATTTGTTATGTTGTATTCCCTGGGAAAGGGTTTTCTTCCTATACCTCAGCCATCCTCTTGTCCTCTTCTCCTCTATCTCATTGCATTGCTGTTGAGTTATATATAATTCATAGTCTGCACCGAAGTTCCCACACAGTCTCTACTTGGTGCCTTCATACCAATGACTGCATATCAGAACAAATATTACATATAATGAGTAAATAGTAATTTTAATATTGGATAAGCAATACCTAATTACAGACAAGTACAAGGCTTATCAGCCAATTAACGTGCAACATTTGTACTTAATTAAGCATAATCCAGTCAGTGCCGGTGTTGTCATCAGACAAAGATCACTGAAAGGCAATTTGAGCAGGCTTTAATGAAGGGTGTAATTTTACTAGGGGGTGGTTGTCGGTACAACTGTTATCCCTTGTTGCACTGGAGCAGACACCCAGGGGAGGATGGTCACCTGAGGACTCCCGACTTCATCTCGTCTTGGTTGGCTACAGTTTTCCTTTTAACCTTGAACTTGATGTATGCCATCAGCTACAAAACACATGAATAAAGTATATGCTTTGTGTCTTTCAACCTGCCTCAACTTTCTTTGTGTTAAAGCACAAAGTAAAAAACTCATTTGGATCATGGAATTCCTGCTCTGTCGCAGCAGAGTTTGATGCCATTGGTCTCTAGGTTATAGTCCACACGGAAACTTGTTTTGGTTCAATTTCATTAATAGAAAACCTTTAGTGGGCAGTACATCTCTATTATTATTGCCACATGTCAATATTATTGCCATCCATTATTTCACTTCAGGAGTGGCTTTTATTATTCTAGCTTTGAAAACTGTCCCCAAATGTCTTAAATTAAACCAACATAAATTTAATTTAACCTGAAGGGGATGACTAGTCCCAGACAGTTGCCATGTTTCTCTGCTGCTAGCAGTTCGTGGTGCTTTGAGATTTCGCGTCTTATGACAGAGCCATGGCTGCATCCAGGATGGAGTGTCCATGTGGTAAGGAGGACTGACTTTACTAAGTTTTACTGTTTGAGCTCATCTGTAAAAACAAGCCCTTTGACTGAGTGACCAAATTCACTGCTTGCTACAAATGTATGTACTTTATAGACCGTATCATAACAGTGGGGCCTGAGCTGGGTGACGGGGGGTGATGAGGTACTATGACAGTGGACAGGTATTATGCAAACTGCTGCTTGTACAGTTTGTTGCATAAAGCTTTATGTTACAGCTTCTTTGGAGCAAAGACCTGGAGGTCTGCAGAGATGCTCTCTCGAAAAAAAATAGCCTAAGACTACAACGAAAGTTAATTTGCACTGAAGTGACTGGAGAACTCAACCTTAACAACAAGGTGAGTAACCTAAAAAAGGACTTACAGCCTTTAAATCAATCATATCTGAACAAAAAAATTCAGTCTTCTTACATCAAGACACTCTTTGCCCAAATATCCCAAGCAGTGTCTCCACGACAGGCATCCATGTAGCCATGAGAAACGTGGCTTATATCTAGTGATTTAAAAATCACCAGCGAGGGCGATTCCATACCTCCTCAGCCTTTGTTGCTGCACTTTCTTCTTCCTGTTAAAGATATCTTTCTCCTAAGCTCAAACTGAATTTTCCAGCTTGAGAAATGACTATGAACAGGTTGGCTAAACGCCTTTCAGGAATGACACAGACCACATGTGGATATCATGTGGACCTCTCCAACCCTTTTTTGTGGCTTTCTAGAATTCCAATGTGATAAATGAACAGCCTCAGGAAACACTTGCTCTTTTAAAACATTTTCTTTTTGCAGAATATGTTCTTTTGATTAAATAAACAGCATTATTTGGTCATCAATCATTACCATGTTTTCTGACCAGCTTTTCTGAAGTCTCACTAGGGCAAAGACTTGCTAACAAATATATGAGGTTACTGTTGCCTCTTTCAGCTCCTGGCCTGGGCAGAAGGAAAGCCCTCTCAATTAAATCCATCATGCTCTCAACTGGTTACCCTCCTCTACCATGACCTTTTTGCAGCACCTTTCCTCAGCAGCTTTGTAAACTATATTCCCCTCACCAACCATGACTGTAGTCAGCTGAGACCTCCAAATGTCAAACCCAGTAATAGGGGTAGTGTCTCCTAGCACCTCATCCTGGAGACCTGATGGACTCCCAGCAAAAGGAGCGGATTATAAGGCAGAGGAGCTTTAGTATTTTTACACTGTGACAAGGAAACTTTGTATCTTTCTTACTTACAGAAGCTGCTTCAGAGGATGAAGGTGTAGGAGGAAACATAGTCAAGAGAAAAAAGCTTACCCTGAATATTTCCATTCAGTGTACAGGAAAGCTGCTTGGTGACATGCAGAGGTTTGCCCCAACTTTCTGTGTAAATAGCACTTGGCTTTATCATGTAGACTTAGCAACTTTTCTGGAGGAGCTGGGGTCAAAATTGACCTGCATGTACTCTGCATTTGGCAGTGAGAAAAAACCTCCTTGGGGGCTGTGGAGCTCTGAGAGCTTTAAAAATGTATTTAAAGGTCAGACAGCAGCTTTGGCTACTCATTTTAGCTTTTTTCCTCTGACATGTTCCTAAAATGGGCTTAGACTCTGAAGGCACCTGTTAAAGAGTATAGTGTGAACAAAATCTTCTATGATCATAAAAGTGAAGTTTCAGGTCTTCTATTTTTGGAGAAATATAGCTCTGGAAGAGAAATTTAGGGGAAAAGAATACACTGACTGCAGCTGGGACTGTTGTATTTGGTAATGGAGATGATCATGTGGAACCTGCCTGAGTAATATGGAGAATATGCCCCATGTATTATTTTCCAGGTCAGTGAAGCTCCAAATACAAAATGAAACCATCAGAAAGTTTCCTTGAGTCTATGCCACTGATGGCAACTCTGAGTGACTCTGGACTTTATTTTCAGAAGTTCTAGATCATCTCAGTTCCCAGTGTAATCAAGTGGAACTGTGGCTGCTGATCTTCAAGCTTAAGCACAGCTTGAGTTATAGACTTCAAGACTCTGATGAAATATTTTGTTCTTAACCTGCTGTGCAGATATGGGATAGCTGTAGCTTTGGGTCCCCTGTCTTAACTGCTTCAGTGTTGGATTGATGGGAAGGTTGTTTCTGAAAGAAAACAAAAGTGAATGGTTATGTAGAAAAGTGTGAAAACAGGCCATTTTCAGTGTGTTTTTGCTGTATCTCACCACTTTTACCTGTCCTCCCTGAAAGGCAGGCTTGGTTGTATGCACTTTTATTGTCTGAAGCTAGTTTTTGTTCACAGACTTAGCCAGACTCCCTTAGGTAATGTTTATTCACTTGTATCACCAGGCAAATTCTGACACAGCTCATCAGCAGGAGGAGGGGCTTGTCCTAAATCTCCTGTAAGATCAGCTGACAAAGCAGTGTTAGATAATGCAAGTCCCCAGGTAACATGCAGGGCTGCAGATTATTCCTCAAGAAGTTTGTCTTTATATTATCCCTACCCTTCTCACTCCAAATACCAAAACTGTTGTGCCAACCTGCCTCCAGAGGCCCCCTTCTGTACCCTCTCTTGCATGCTCAGGTCCCCAGGACAGGCTGCACCCAGGTGACAGATGCAGTGGGGTGTTGTGTGAGCTGCAGGGCAGGAACAACCCTCACACAGTTACCTTCAGCCAGCTGCCCCCTGAAATCAGCTTCGGTGCTGGATCCCACCCCACAGTACATGGGAAAGAGAGACTCACCGGTGCTGTGGTGTAGGAGCTGGCAACATGGGCAATCCCAGACCCATGCCCAGCTGACACAGGCCTGGGTGGGACAAGCCTGTGTGTCCCTGACAAGCACAGAGCCCAACCTGACATTGCCTTCTGGAAGCACCTGCTTTTCTCTCACCATCGACCAGGAAGTCTCTATAATCATCTCTGTAGATACCTGCGATGGCCTAGGAACAAAGTGGCCAGAGATGGCCTGCAAGCATGAATAGTTCCCACAGATGCTTTAATCTTGTCAAGAGGAGGGTGTTTTTCCAGTCCTGCATATAAATTGAGACCAGAGACCTAATTACCTCACAACTTTCCTTACAATGATACTAGTTATTTATTTTGAAGTATTTGGGGTTAGGCTAAGGGCATGAAAAAATAGAGAGGAAAGCCAAATCTTGAGCTTTTGTGGCTTTTTTTTTTTTTTTTCCCAGGACTACCTTGCTGAAGGATGCCTGAGGAATGCCTGGAGCCCTTGGCTGCATGAAGGGGGCAAGAAGAGGTGAACTGCTTTGCCCATCGAGTATGAGGTTATGCAATGATAGATCCTCCCAGATGACTTGTCAAGTGCCTCTGCTGAGCAGGGACAAGTACAGAATAAAGGCAATCACTCAATAAAATTTACAAAACTGAAAGACGAGAAGAGAGCATTTGCAACCCACTAAATGTACCTTCATAGCTTTTTTGCCTGACAACTTGTCCGAGCAGCAATAACATCACCTGTCACAGGTTCTTGTGGACAAGTCTCATCTAGCTCTGGGCTTTCATTTGCAGCTGGAACATTTTGTCAGATGTCTTTTAATTTACTTGGCTGCTCAACAGGCAAACACAACAGACTATATTCTTACCCATCCTTTAGCAAAGCAGATAGCTCAACTAATATTAATGTTTTAACTGCTGCTTCCTTATTGCAAACCATGGTACAGACTTCAACATGTACAGTATTAATTGAAATCATCCATAGGAGATTTAGCAGCTCTTGCCTGAAACGCTCTCCTCTACCACTGGCAAGGGCAGCCAGGGCCCTCGGGGAGAGGTGCGAGTGAGTGTGGCTGATTCACCTACGTCATGCCTCCATGTTGTTTCCAAACATCTATTCCTGATTAATACCCTGTGTGGATGCTGTTTCTGCAAAATCAGAGTGCATTGTTCCTGCTTAATTCAGCCTTCGAGCTGCTTTTAAGAAGCAGCAATGGTACATTATATTTGCATCTTACTTTAATCAGTGCTAACTTGCAAGTGCAGGCAAGTCCTGGAATACATGATCCGTTATCTTAGAGGAGCAAGAGCAGTGTAATGAATATGCTGAGTGACCTAAGGGAGGATCTTGTATCCAGCTATCTCGTGGAGGGGATCTGAAATTAGTTTTGCCTTGGAGATTTTTGGGAAAGAAATGGCGTTGTTTTCTTCACTTGATCAGTAAAAAAAAAAAGGAAAGCAAAGAAAATCAAACCAGCGTTTTGATGAGATACGCTCTTTGCATTGTTCTTGCAGAATAAGCTGGGGAAAATAACTTTTCACTCTCATATAGATTGCCACCTACAGATGTTGCTTACTGCAGAGGGCTACCTGTTTTCATGGCATCCATATCAATGGCAGGAGCACTCATGGACAGCAGACATCCCTCAGATGTAGGAGGAGGAATATTGTCAAGTTACCCGGGCTCTCATCAGTCAGACTGAAGATGGGCAGTTACACATTCACTTGTATGAGGTAAATTGTCCTGGGCCAAATCTCTCATTTGTCCAGTGACAGACAAGCACCCAGATGAAACTGGCATTTCTGAGAAGAGAAAAGGAGCTGTTCCTTATCAAGTGTGTATGTGTGTGACTTGGCACCCTGAGAATACCTA